AAACCGGGGGGGGGGGGGGGATGCTACTATCGCGATTACCGCCGTTATCCCCCCCCTTTTTCCACCCCATTCCCAACGCAACGGGACAACGGGGGGGGGGGGGGCTGCGACTATCGCGATTATCGCACCGAACGGGACAACGCGCGCGTCCCTGAGACCCCCCCCTCCCCCCCCCTTCCCCCGCTGCCGCCATTTGCGAGAACAAAGCGGCGGCAAAGCCAAAACCGGGGGGGGGGGGGGGGGGGGGGGAGGGGATCACGGCGCTTCCCCTCCCCCTCCCCCCAACCGTAACCGCCCCCATCCCCCCCCCGGTGCGGGGGGACCCGCGGGGCCCCCCCCCCCCCCCCAGGCCCCCCGCGCTCACCGCGGCCGCCCGCCGCCATCTTGTCTCCTCAGCACAATGGGAGGAGGAGGAGGAGGAGGAGGAGGGGGGAAGGGGCCGGGTCACCGCCCCCCCCCTCCCCTCCCCCCCCCGCGGCTCCGTTACCTCCCCCCTCCCCCCCCCCTCTTTGTTTCCGGTTCCCCCCCCCGCTGTGTCCGTACCGGGGACGAGGCCGCTCCGCGATCGGCGGGGCCCGGACCGGGACCGGGACCGGGACCTGAGGGGAGGGGAGAAAGGGGGGGGGGAGGGGGAGGGGGAGTGAAGGGGGGAGGGGGGGGGCGCTGCGCGCGCGGGAGAGCGGGAGGACGAGACCGCAGCGAGGGGGGCGGGGCCTGAGCGGGGGTCACGTGGACAGCGGAAGGGGCAGCCAATGGGGGAGCGCGGGGAGGGGGGAGGAGTCAGAGAGAAAGGGGCGGGGACAGAGGGGAGGGGGCGGGGACAGAGGGGAGGGGGCGGGTCCATACCGGGTCGGTCCCATACGGGATCGGTCCCATACCGGGTCAGTTCCATACCGGGTCGGTCCCATACGGGATCGGTCCCATACCGGGTCAGTTCCATACCGGGTCGGTCCCATACGGGATCGGTTCCATACGGGATCAGTCCCATACCGGGTCGGTCCCATACCGGGTCGGTCCCATACCGGGTCGGCTCCATACGGGATCGGTTCCATGCCGGGTCGGTTCCATACGGGATCGGTTCCATATGGGATCGGTTCCATACCGGGTCGGTCCCATACCGGGTCGGTCCCATACCGGGTCGGTTCCATACCGGGTCGGTCCCATACCAGGTCGGTCCCATACCAGGTCGGTTCCATACCGGGTCGGTCCCATACGGGATCAGTCCCGTACCGGGTCAGTTCCATACGGGATCGGTTCCATACCGGGTCGGTTCCATACCGGGTCGGTCCCATATTGGGTCGGTTCCATACGGGATTGTTCCCATACCAGGTCGGTCCCATACGGGATCGGTTCCATACCGGGTCGGTCCCATACCGGGTAGGTCCCGTACCGGGTCGGTTCCATACCAGGTCGGTCCCATACTGGGTCGGTCCCATACCGGGTCGGTCCCATATTGGGTCGGTTCCATACCGGGTCGGTTCCATATGGGATCGGTCCCATATGGGATCAGTTCCATACGGGATCGGTCCCATACCGGGTCGGTTCCATACCAGGTTGGTCCCATACCGGGTCGGTTCCATATGGGATCGGTTCCATATTGGGTCGGTTCCATACCAGGTTGGTCCCATACCGGGTCGGTTCCATATGCGATCGGTTCCATATTGGGTCAGTTCCATACCGGGTCGGTTCCATACCGGGTCAGTTCCATACAGGATCGGTTCCATATTGGGTCAGTTCCATACTGGATTGGTCAATAAGGGGTTGGTCCCATACTGGGTCGGTCCCATAGCGGGTCCGTTCCATACAGGATCGGTCCCATACTGTGTTGGTCCCGTACTGGGTCAGTTCCACATTGGGTCGGTCCCATACAGGATCGGTTCCATGCTGGCTCAGTTCCATACAGAATCAGATCCATATGGGGTCGGATCCATACAGGATCAGTCCCATACTGGGTCAGTTCCATACAGGATCAGATCAATACAGGGTCAGTTCCATACAGGATCAGATCAATACAGGGTCGGTTCCATACGGGATCGGATCAATATGGGGTTGGCTCTGTACAGGATCAGTCCCATACGGGGTCGGTTCTATACAGGATCAGATCCATACGAGTTCGGCTCCATATGGGATCAGTCCCATACCGGGTCGGTTCCATACAGGATCAGATCCATACGGGGTCAGCTCCATACAGGATCGGATCCATACGAGGTCGGCTCCATACAGGATCAGTCCCATACCAGGTCGGTTCCATAAAGGATCTGATCAATATGGGGTTGGCTCCATACAGGATCGGTCCCATACTGGGTCAGTTCCATACAGGATCGGATCAATACAGGGTCAGTTCCATACAGGATCAGATCAATACAGGGTCAGTTCCATACAGGATCAGATCAATACAGGGTCGGTTCCATACGGGATCGGATCAATATGGGGTTGGCTCTGTACAGGATCAGTCCCATACGGGGTCGGTTCTATACAGGATCAGATCCATACGAGTTCGGCTCCATATGGGATCAGTCCCATACCGGGTCGGTTCCATACAGGATCAGATCCATACGGGGTCAGCTCCATACAGGATCGGATCCATACGAGGTCGGCTCCATACAGGATCAGTCCCATACCAGGTCGGTTCCATAAAGGATCTGATCAATATGGGGTTGGCTCCATACAGGATCGGTCCCATACCGGGTCAGCTCCATACAGAATCGGATCCATACTGGCTCAGTTCCATACAGGATCGGATCCATACTGGCTCAGTTCCATACAGGATCGGATCCATACGGGGTCAATTCCATACAGGATCGGATCCATACTGGCTCAGTTCCATACAGGATCGGATCCATACGGGGTCAGCTCCATAGAGGATCGGATCCATACGGAGTCAGTTCCATACAGGATCGGATCCATACGGGGTCAGTTCCATACAGGATCGGATCCATACCGGGTCAGTTCCATACAGGATCGGATCCATACCGGGTCAGCTCCATACAGGATCGGATCCATACGGAGTCAGTTCCATGCAGGATCGGATCCATACGGGGTCAGCTCCATGCAGGATCAGATCCATACGGGGTCAGTTCCATACAGGATAGGATCCATACTGGCTCAGTTCCATACAGGATCGGATCCATACGAGGTCAGTTCCATACAGGATCGGATCCATACTGGCTCAGTTCCATACAGGATCGGATCCATACGGGGTCAGTTCCATACAGGATCGGATCCATACCGGGTCAGTTCCATACAGGATCGGATCCATACGGGGTCAGTTCCATACAGGATCGGATCCATACGGGGTCAGCTCCATATGGGATCAGTGCAATGAGGTGCAGCCTCCCCGGTGCCCGTTACAGGGGGACGATCCCAGCCCTGCCCCTGCTGCCGGCCCCGGATGCAGCCGGAATCCTCGGCTCCAAGCTCCATCGATCCCTCTCCTTTCCCACGAGCAGCTGCCAGCCGCTCTTCCCTAACCCTGGAATGCTGCACGGGGATGGGGATGGGACGAAGCACGGACCGGCATGGAGCTTCGGATGCGGGGTGAGCCTTGGGCTCAGGGAGGAGCATCCCTGGATCCCTTCGGCTTCACTGGGAGATGAACCTAAATGGGATGGAAGCGTCCGGATGCTCCATGAAAACTCCCGTTTGGATCGTGCTGATCCCGAGTGTTGAGGGATGCCCAATGCTCAATGACCCCCCCCCTCCCCAAGCGAATGGAGCCTCGAGCTCAGAGATCCATGAGAAAAGAAGGAGTTTATTGTGGAGAACATCAGCCCTGCCCCTTTTCCATGGAGTTCCCGAGCATCCCCATGGGATGAGCAGAGAGGACGGGAACGCCGGGACGGAAGTCGCATCCCGGAGCCCCGGACGCCTTAAACCACACCATGGGCAATTCCACCCCTAAGCTTCTTCCTCTTGATGCCAGGGGGTTCTGGATCATCCCCTGCCCCTTCCCGATGGCGTTTCCAGCCCCAAAGTGTCTGGAATGCAAATGCCAGGCAGGGAAGGAACCCAACGGCATTCCTTAGGGATCGGCCTGCAATAGACCTGAATGGAGCCCAGTCCTTATTCCCTTTGTTAGGCCTACTTTTACCCCAAACCAAGAGGATTCTCCTCGTTTTGGCTCTCCCATTGCCTTTCCCTATCCCTTTTGTCTCTCCCTTTGCCTTTCCCTATCCCTTTTGGCTCTCCCTTTGCCTTTCCCTATCCCTTTTGGCTCTCCCTTTGCCTTTCCCTATCCCTTTTGGCTCTCCCATTGCCTTTCCCTATCCCTTTTGGCTCTCCCATTGCCTTTCCCTATCCCTTTTGGCTCTCCCTTTGCCTTTCCCTATCCCCTTCGGCTCTTTCCTAGGCCAGCTTGCCCCTTCCATGCTCTAGCGGGAGCCATCCCTGCCCATGGCCCGAGCTTCAGCTCCTTCCCAACCCATTCCATGGCTCTCAGGTGGAGATTCCAAGCTCTCCAAGGAAACGGGGCTGCAACAGCTCCAAATCGACACAAAACACCCCCAAAACTACCCCAAAACACCCCAAACCCAGTTCAGAATCACCTACAAAACCCCCTAAGAGACCTAAAAAGAGGCCAACTTCATTTTTGGCATTTGGTTTGCTTAAAATCCCCCGATCCGACCCCAAAAAGCAGAGGGACAAACACCAGCACCTCCCAGCGCCCATCCCCGAGCATCGGGGCGCGGATGGGGAAGGCTTTGCTCTACAGGATCAGGTGTGGGAATGCGGGAATGGGAAGGAATCAGTGCTAAAGGAGGCGGCTTTCCCGTCCACCTCCAGCATTCCCGGGTGATATTCCCATCAGGATTCCTTATCTAAAGGGGTGAAGCAGGGAAGCAAAGGGATCTCCGCAGGATCTGCTCCTCCTGGCGAGGAATCCCCACCGGCAACACAAGACTTGGGGGGTGGCTGCAGGGAAATTCCCAATGGGAAGCAGCAATCCCAATGGGAAGCAGCATTCCCAACGGGATTTCCATGGATTGACTCCATGGGGAACTCGGCCCAGCTGGAGCCAGACCCCATAGCGCAGTGCTCGCGCTGGACCGCTGATGCTCGTGGCTTGGCATCCCCAAGGCTTCCAGGTGGCATCTTTAGGAGCATCCATCCCGCAGCAACACCCCCCCCCCCCCAAAAAAAAAGATGGGAATTCCGGGTTCATTCCAAGGATAGGGATGGGAAGAACGGGACGGGACGAGGATCTACGCATCCTGAGGGATTTTGTTCCTCTTCTTCAGGAGCTTTTTCAGGTCAGGGGACATGAAATAAGGCTTCTCGGCCGAGCCATCGTTCCGCTCCAGGTCTTCCACTGCAAAGAGAACCCCCCCCATTGCCCCACACATGGCGGGGGGGGGCAGACCCATAGGTTGGGATGGGGGGGGGGGGTCCCACATCCCCATTAAGGAGCTCTTAAAGGCACAGAGACGCTGGTTTGGTGCCTGAGGAGGAGAGGAGCCCATAGCTCCTGATGGGTGCTGCTGAGGACCAGGGGTGCACCCCCCCCCCCGCATAGGGATGCCATGGAGCAGCTCCAGAGCCTATGGGAAGGCTTGGGATAAAGGATGGGAGAAGGGAATCTTCCAATGGGGAGGTGGGGATGGGGTCGGAGGCACAAGTTCTCCCCGTGAGGATGGTGGGACACTGGGAGAAGGTGGGGATGCCCCATCCCTGTTCAAATCCAGCTTGGAGCACCCTATGGGAAGGGGTCCCTGGTGTTCCAGGGGGTTGGAATTGGATGAGCTCGGATTCCGATTGGGATTGGGTGATGATAAAGAGCATGGAGGAGGAAGCAGAGAGCTGGGGGGGAGGGATGGGATGGCTTTATCCAGGGGGGTGGGCAGCAGGAAGGATCAACAGTGAGCGGAGATCCCTTGGGAATGCCGGGAACGCCGTTCCCATCCTCTCCGGAGCAATCTCAGCGCTCCAGACCCGGCTCCGCGCCATAAGGACCAAGTGCTTCGGACCACGGCTCAACCCATCCCAAAGCATCCAACAGAGCTCCAGCCCCTGGGAAAACGCCTCCGGATGCTCCGGGAGGGATGGGAACGTGGCCTGGGAAGAGGGGATCCGTGTGGGCACGGCCCTGCAGCACCAGCAGACAGGCAAGGAAAGGATCCCGGACTTGGGATGCTGGAAGGCTCCGCTTCCCAATCCCATGGGCACAAGGCACGGAGTCGGTGATGAGGGCCCGGAAGCTCGGAAGCAGCAGCTTTGCATCCTCTTCCCAAAGAAGAGCAGGGCGAGGAATGGGAGCAGGGTGGGAGCTATGGATGGCGCTCAGCACATCCCATAGGAAGACGGGATGCAGACCCCCCCCCTCCTTCCTTAGCCCTGGCTCTCGGGGCTTTGGGAAGGCTCCAGGCTGCCCTTGAGCAGGATCCGGCGGAGCTCAGGGGACATGAGGAACGGCCGCTCCGGGGATCCATCGTTCCTCTCCAGGTCTTCGCCTTGCCACAAGCCCCGGAGAAGCGGCCGGGATGGGGAAGAGGGAGAAGGGGCGGGAGGCAGGGATGGAGGATGGAGAAGGGAAGGGATGGAGGATGGAGAAGGGCAGGGATGGAGCATGGAGAAGGGAAGGGATGGAGGATGGAGAAGGGCAGGGATGGAGGATGGAGAAGGGAAGGGATGGAGGATGGAGAAGGGAAGGGATGGAGGATGGAGAAGGGAAGGGATGGAGCATGGAGAAGGGCAGGGATGGAGGATGGAGAAGGGAAGGGATGGAGGATGGAGAAGGGCAGGGATGGAGCATGGAGAAGGGAAGGGATGGAGGATGGAGAAGGGAAGGGATGGAGGATGGAGAAGGGAAGGGATGGAGGATGGAGAAGGGAAGGGATGGAGCATGGAGAAGGACAGGGATGGAGGATGGAGAAGGGAAGGGATGGAGGATGGAGAAGGGAAGGGATGGAGGATGGAGAAGGGAAGGGATGGAGCATGGAGAAGGGAAGGGATGGAGGATGGAGAAGGGAAGGGATGGAGCATGGAGAAGGGAAGGGATGGAGCATGGAGAAGGGCAGGGATGGAGGATGGAGAAGGGCAGGGATGGAGCATGGAGAAGGGAAGGGATGGAGGATGGAGAAGGGAAGGGATGGAGGATGGAGAAGGGAAGGGATGGAGCATGGAGAAGGGAAGGGATGGAGGATGGAGAAGGGCAGGGATGGAGGATGGAGAAGGGAAGGGATGGAGGATGGAGAAGGGAAGGGATGGAGGATGGAGAAGGGAAGGGATGGAGCATGGAGAAGGGAAGGGATGAAGCATGGAGAAGGGAAGGGATGGAGCATGGAGAAGGGAAGGGATGGAGGATGGAGAAGGGCAGGGATGGAGCATGGAGAAGGACAGAGATGGAGCATGGAGAAGGGCAGGGATGGAGCATGGAGAAGGGAAGGGATGGAGGATGGAGAAGGACAGGGATGGAGCATGGAGAAGGACAGAGATGGAGGATGGAGAAGGGCAGGGATGGAGCATGGAGAAGGGCAGGGATGGAGGGTGGAGAAGGGCAGGGATGGAGCATGGAGAAGGGAAGGGATGGAGGATGGAGAAGGGAAGGGATGGAGGATGGAGAAGGGAAGGGATGGAGGATGGAGAAGGGCAGGGATGGAGGATGGAGAAGGGAAGGGATGGAGGATGGAGAAGGGAAGGGATGGAGCATGAAGAAGGGAAGGGATGGAGCATGGAGAAGGGCAGGGATGGAGGATGGAGAAGGGAAGGGATGGAGGATGGAGAAGGGAAGGGATGGAGCATGGAGAAGGGAAGGGATGGAGCATGAAGAAGGGGAGGGATGGAGAATGTAGAAGGTGGAGAAAAGCAGGGATGGAGGATGGAGAAAGTGGAGAGAGGCAGGGATGAAGGATGGAGAACACAGAAAAGGACAGGGATGAAGGATGGAGAACATGGAGAGAGGAAAGGATGAAGGATGAAGAACATGGAAAAGAGCAGGGATAGAGGATGGAGAACAGGGAGAGAGACAGCAAGAGGAGAGGGAAGAGAGAAGGAGAAGTCCAAGTTAGTCCCAGTCTGGTTCCCCCAAAGCCCCAAAGCAGAAAGACCGAGAGCTCCTGCGGGAGCGCCAGGGACAGGCAGAGGGAAGGAAGGAGCCGGGAAAGGCAAAAGAGGGGGAGAAGGGAGGCCAGGGAATGGGGAGCTCCGGGCCCGCAGCCACGGGGATGGCACTTACAGAAGCAGAGGAAGAGAGTGTCCACGCACATCCCATAGACACTGAAGAACCCATGGGCAATGAGGTAGGAGCCCACGATCACCGTCTGCAAGAGGGATTTGGGGGGTGGGGGTCACATCATCCCCTGGCATCCACCAAGGGGGCATCCCACTGGATCCAGCATTCCCAAGGGAAAGGAGGGTGGGGGGACAGGAGCAGCCCCATTCGGGACAATGCAATGGGGGCGGGGGCAGGATGAGGGGGGACAAAGGGGTTGCTTCCCACGGGATTGGGTTAAGGATCAGTTTGGGATTGATCCCAAGGGATGAGGAAGGAGCTCACCAGAATAGGCACCCAGTAGTAATTGAGGGCCGGCGCCGTGTCCTGGACCAGCTTTATCCGATGGGTGAAGAAGAAGAAGGCGAGGATTCCTGGCGGAGCAAGGGATGGAGATGGCCACGGGAATGCCAGGCAGGGAAGGTGGAAAGGGGGGGGTGGAAAGGCTCGATCCCATGGGAAGCACAGAGCCGAGTGCTGGGAAGCGGAAGGGGAGGAACTCCCCCTCTTACCGACGCTTCCCACAACGAGGAGCTTGCCGAGGAAGAAGAGGAAATCCGTGACTTTATCCAGCACAGCCACCCTGGGAAGAGGGCCGGGATGAGCTCCGGGCCGCAGCCGGGATGCTCCCGCGCCGCCTGCATCCCGCGGTACCCACCTGATGATGTTCCTCATCAGCAGGAAGAAGGCGTTGCGGGCAGACGTGCAGAAGTTGGTGCCGTAGATGGCGATCTGGAAGGTCGGGGGGGGAAGCATCACCCCATTCCAGCCCCTTGGATATCTGGTTCCCAATCCAAAGGAGGCTGAGATCCCCCCCCCGCCTTGTATCCATCACCCTTTGGAGCCTCTTACCATGATGTAGGCGTTTCTGTTGAGGAACTTGAGGAACTTCTCCAGGCACCAGAAGCAGCATTTGAGGCAGCTCAGGAGGAACTTGGCCACTTTGTTCTCTGCAGCTGGGAGAGGAGGCAAAGCAGGAGATGGGAGCAAGGTCAAGGTCTCCATGGGCCCCATCCAGATGCCCCATCCCTGCCTCCATCCCTGCCTCCTGTCACTGCCTCCATCCCTGCCTCCCATCACTGCCTCCATCCCTGCATCCCATGGTCCCCATCCAGCTGCCCCATCCCTGCCTCCATCCCTGCATCTCATCACTGCTTCCATCCCTGCATGCCGTGACTGACTCCATCCCTGCATCCCATGGTCCCTTCCAGCTGCCCCATCACTGCTTCCATCCCTGCATCCCATCACTGCCTCCATCCCTGCATCCCATGGTCCCTTCCAGCTGCCCCATCACTGCCTCCATCCCTGCATCCCATCACTGCCTCCATCCCTGCATCCCATCACTGCCTCCATCCCTGCATCCCATCACTGCCTCTATCCCTGCATCCCGTGACTGACTCCATCCCTGCATCCCATGGTCCCTTCCAGCTGCCCCACCACTGCCTCCATCCCTGCATCCCATCCCTGCCTCCATCCCTGCCTCCTGTCACTGCCTCCATCCCTGCCTCCAGTAACTGCGTCCATCCCTCCAGCCCATCACTGCCTCCATCCCTGCATCCCATCACTGCCTCCATCCCTGCATCCCATCAGTGCCTCTATCCCTGCATCCCATCACTGCCTCCATCCCTGCATCCCATCACTGCCTCCATCCCTGCCTCCCATCACTGCCTCCATCCCTGCATCCCATGGTCCCCATCCAGCTGCCCCATCACTGCCTCCATCCCTGCATCCCACGGTCCCCTTCCAGCTGCCCCATCCCTTCCTCCACGCCTGCACCCCATGCTCCACACCCCTGGGATGAGCCCCATAGGTGCACACCCTTGGACCCACACTCGTGCTGATTGCACTGGGGGACCAGCAGAGCCCTGCAGCCAGGCATGAGCTTCCCTATGGATACCCACAGGACTGCGGGAATTGGTCCAGCAGCCGCATCCCACCCCTACAGCATCCTCCAAGGAAAACCCCCCTCCTCCCTTGGACCGCTGACGCCCACCGGCCCCGGGAGCCATGGGAGCATCCGTGGCACCCAGCACCCCATCCCTCTCCTCCGTCCCTCCCGTACCTTTCAACCTGTGGTCCAGGTACTCCAGAGTGACCCTGATGACTTGGACGATGGCGAGGATGAGGGAGCCGAAGGCCAAGGAGCCCGTGTGGTACCTGGGGGCGAACCCCCCTGCTTAGGGAATGGGCCAACCCTCAAGGAGCATCCTCCTCCTCCTCCTCCTCCAGAGGGACCCTACCGGAGCGCGCGGCCGAAGGCGGAGAAGAGCGGGAATGCCGGGATATCCTCGGGCTTCTTGAAGGCCCAGTAATAGGATGCGAAGGCTCCGGCCAACGTCACCTGGCCCAAGGCGATGACGAAGTTGACGAGCCAGAAGAACATGAAGAGGTTGAAGAACTGGAGGGCGATGAGGTACCGGTGGTAGGACGTCTCCCCCCCATAGAAGGCAAAGAGGCACTGGGCATTGGGGCACTGCTTGGTGACGTTGCTCGTGTTGAAGGTCTAGGGAGGACAAGAGGTTGGTCACCGGGGTCCCCGCAATGGGGGGCTTGGCTTTGGGAAGAGCTTTTCCTGCTTCCTGGAAGGGGATGTTGGAGCTCTGATTGCAGCTATCGCCTCCAAGGGGGGCAAAGGGGGTAGAGGAGAGCGGGATGGAGGGATGGGGCAATGGGAATGGCTTCGACCCATTCGCTGGAGGGGTGATGGAGATGGGACCTTGGGATGCTCCTCACTGGGATGGGGTCAGCCTGGAGCACCCTATGGAAGGCGGCGCTGGTGTTCCAGGGGGCTGGAATCGGAGGAGCCTGAAGATGCCAGGACCCCAACCCGTGCATCCCAGGGCCCGCACCTCGGGCGTGCAGGTCTGGCCGGCGAAGGGGCACGTGTCCTCATCGAACACCTTGTACACGGCCTCGTTGGAGGTGGAGAGGAAGCTGTGGGGCGAGCTAAGGAGCGCACGGACCGCAGTGCCGGAGCCCGCTGCACCGGGGTGCGGGGTCAATCCCAACCCGATGCTCCCGGGAGGAGGAGGAGGAGGAGGAAGAGGGAAGGATACACGGCGGTGCTGGCCCAATAGGCGATGCAGAGGCAGAGGAGGAAGAAGGTGCACAAGGGGAAGAGCAGCGACGTCATGATGTGCCCGACGGCCCTGCCGGGAACACGGCCCAACCCTGGTCAAAGTCCCGTCCCTGGCGGCAGGAGCCCGAGCCCATCCCCGTGTCCTCGGACCTGCTGGCCTCCCGGATGAGCGCGATGGCGATGAGGATCCTCTTGCGCAGGAAGACGAGCAGCAGCAGGATGAGCACCTCCAGGATGCTCAGGATGATCACTGCCGGGGACAAGGCGCGCCTTGGGTACCACTCCGCCGAGCGCCCATCCCTGCATCCCGAGGAGGAGGAGGAGGAAGGGGGCACTCACTGAAGGCCAGCCACGTCTGCCGCAGGTGCAGGTAGACACGGAGGTCGGTCTGAAAGCCCAGGTCCTGCAGGGAGACGTCCGAGCCCGCTTCCCCCTTCAGCTTCGCGTATTCCAGGTAACAGTGGAAGATCCCTGGTGGAAAAGTGGGAAGCGAAGATGCCGGAAGGCTCCGCTCGGCCCCCGACCAACGCCGACGCTCCCATAGGAGCCTGTGGAGTTCCATGAGCACCAGTGCCATGGAGAAGCTCACCGTAGCCCAGCACCAGGATCACCATCACGATCATCACCCACACCATGATCCCGGCCAGGAAGCGGAGCAGGACGATGAAGACCAAGCTGGCCACCATGGCGATGACGAGGCCTCTGCGGGAGGAAGGCAGCGGCGCATCAAGCACCGCATCCCCCCGGCGCTCAGCTCCGGTCCTTCCCCATCCCAACCTTTAAGGGTGCCTTAGAAACGGGAATTGCTGATGAGGGGCTCCAGAGCATCCCGCCCCATCTCCCATCCCATGCTCACATGAGGATCCAGTACCAGGAGACCGTGTAGTCCTCGAAGATCTTCATGGCCAACTGCCTGGCCTCCAGGACCACGTTGGCTTTCCTGCAAGCACAAACCCACCATAGAACCACGTTGGAAGGGATCCCAAAGCTCCTCCAGCTCCCACTGGAGCAGGGGGCTCCAAGCCCCATCCAGCCCATAGGGATGGACTCACTTGGCTCCCTCCAGCAGGTCGGTGACGTTCCTCTGCTGGCCGTGGCCATCATTGTAGGTGGTCTCATTGCCGACCATGATGACTCCCTTCTTGGCTTGGATGGCTGGGAAGCATCGGCGCGCCACTGGGAATAGAGGGGGAAAAGCGGCATCATCCATCCATCCATCCCTCCCTCCATTATCCATCCATCCATCCCTCCATCATCCATCCATCCATCATCCATCCATCCATCCCTCCATCATCCATCCATCCATCCATCCATCCATCCATCCATCCATTATCCATCCATCCACCCATCCATCCATCATCCATCATCCATCCATCCATCCATCATCCATCCATTATCCATCCATCTATTACCCATCCATCCACCCATCCATCCATCATCCATCCATCCATCCATCATCCATCCATCCATCCATCCATCCATCCATCCATCCATCCATCCATCCATCCATCATCCATCCATTATCCATCATCCATCATCCATCCATCCATCCATCATCCATCCATCCATCATCCATCCATCCATCCATCCATCCATCCATCCATCCATCCATCACCCATCCACCTACCCACCTCAGGACAAGGGTCCAAACCCCTTCCCGGACCCACAACCCCCCACCGGATCCCTGGAACCCCCCACCAGGAGCCTCAGCCCCACTGGAATGGCCCCATCACCGCCCCATTGCCCTCCAGACCTACGTGGGGTGCTGGGGATGAGCACGGCCGGGCATTCCTTGTCCGCCAACACCCGGAGGGGATCCTGGATGGGGATGGACGGGATGGATGTCAGCGCTGTGGGTGGGAATGACCCCATGGGAACGCTGACGCCGTCCCGTGGACCCACCTTCTGCAGGCCTGTGAACTCGGGCACGCAGAACCTGCGGTAGTATTCCAGCCCCTGGGATGAGTGGGAGGCATCCAGGTACGTCTGGAATCTGTCCGGGCATTCGCTGACACAGATCTGGGAAGGAGAGGAGGACACGGGCTGGGAGAGCTGGAAGAGCTCCGGATCCACCTCCACTGCCTGAGGCTACAGGGAACCTGGAGAGGGCTTTGGACAAGGGATGGAGGGATGGGATAAGGGGAATGGCTTTAACCCGCCAGAGGGGAGATGAAGATGGGATCATGGGAAGTTCAGCACTATGAGGGCGGCGGGACACTGGGATGGGTTGAAGGGAGAAGGCTTGGATGCCCCATCCCACCAAGGCCAGGTTGGAGCAACCTGCTCAAATGGAAGGCATCCCTGCCCATGGAACCGGATGAGCTTTAAGGATGCTTCCAACCCATCCCATGATCCCAAGGAGCCGGAGCATCCTGGGGGAGCTGGGTCGATACCTGAGTGGTCGGGCACTGGAACTCCAGCAGCACCAAGGGGCTGGCACACTTCACGATGTCAAAGTAGAAGAGGAAAGGTTTCCCCCTGCAAAGCAAAGCAGCACCCACATAGGACAGGGATGCACTGCCTGGACCCCCTGGGATGGATATGTGGTACTCAAGGGGGCAGCGGGGATGGGGTACCCAAGGGGGCAGTGGGGATGTGGTACCCAAAGGGGGCAATGGGGATGTGGTACCCAAGGGGGCAGTGGGGGGGCAGGGGGGGCAGTGGGGATGTGGTACCCAAGGGGGGCAGTGGGGATGTGGTACCCAAAGGGGGCAGTGGGGATACAGTACCCAAGAGGGCAGTGGGGATGTGGTACCCAAGAGGGCAGTGGGGATGTGGCAGGGCAGTGGGGATGTGGTACCCAAAGGGGGCAGTGGGGATGTGGTACCCAAGAGGGCAGTGGGGATGTGGTACCCAAAGGGGGCAGTGGGGATGTGGTACCCAAGGGGGGCAGTGGGGATGCGGTACCCAAAGGGGGCAGTGGGGATACGGTACCCAAGGGGGGCAGTGGGGATGCGGTACCCAAAGGGGGCAGTGGGGATGTGGTACCAAGGGGGGCAGTGGGGATGAGGTACCCAAGGGGGGCAGTGGGGATGGGTACCCAAATACGGTACCCAAGGGGGGCAGTGGGGATGTGGTACCCAGGGGGGCAATGGGGATGTGGTACCCAAGGGGGGCAGTGGGGATGTGGTACCCAAGGGGGGCAGTGGGGATGTGGTACCCAAAGGGGGCAGTGGGGATGTGGTACCCAAGGGGGGCAGTGGGGATGTGGTACCCAAGAGGGCAGTGGGGATGTGGTACCCAAAGGGGGCAGTGGGGATGTGGTACCCAAGGGGGCAGTGGGGATGCGGTACCCAAGGGGGCAGTGGGGATGTGGTACCCAAGAGGGCAGTGGGGATGTGGTACCCAAGAGGGCAGTGGGGATGCGGTACCCAAAGGGGGCAGTGGGGATGTGGTACCCAAGAGGGGCAGTGGGGATGCAGTACCCAGGGGGACACAGCCACGTACTCATTGGGGGTCCCCTGCTGCCCGCAGAACTGCCCGCGGCTGTCGGTGGGGTAGATCACCTTCCGGGGGTCCCCATAGCTCCAGGCTGCATGTGGGGAGGCGGAAGAGGCGGTCGTGGTCGTCCCCATGGGCCTCGGACCCACATCTCCCCATGGAGACCTCCCCATCCCCATCGGAGGCTCAGCACCCCCCCACACACACGTACCCAGGATGCCCACCACCACGTAGCCCGCAATGGCGAGGACCAGCAGGATGCAGCAGATGATGTCCGTGCAGCCCCTGCCATAGGGAAGAGCAGCGTTGGGAATGGGAATGGGAACGGGAATGGGAACAGGAACGGGAACAGCAACAGGAATGGGAGCAGGAACAGGAATGGGAACAGGAACGGGAATGGGAACGGGAACGGGAATGGGAACAGGAATGGGAACAGGAATGGGAATGGGAACAGGAATGGGAACGGGAATGGGAAGGGGAATGGGAACAGGAACGGGAATGGGAAAGGGAATGGGAACAAGAATGGGAAGAGGGATCACGGTGCCTCTGCTCTTTACCTGTCGTAGATGGGACCTTTGAAGGTGGGGTCGTACTTCTGCGGCGTCCCTAGGGAAGCGCATTGGGAATGGGAACAACGAGGGGTGGGATGGATGGGGAGGAAGGGGGCTCCTCCTCCTCCTCCTCCTCAGCAGGGAACCCAACGCTCGGGCTGGAATCCGGAGGGAAGCGGCCTCCGGGAGCGGGATTCCCATTGGAAAACCCTCTTCCATCAGCTTCCCAACGTAAACACTGCCTGGGATACCCCCGATCCCATTGGAGCAGCGCGGGGGGGGGGAATGCTGGGAATCCAGCCCCAGATCCCACACCCCGGCTTTATTTATAGGGTGGGAACCCAGCCAGGAGGGAGCGGGGGGGGCTTTAGGGGGGTTCCACTTCCGGGTGATTTTTGGGGGGGGGTGCAGGGATCCCCCCCCCCAACCCCAGCTCGGAGCCAAGCCCCGGCCCGAACGCGTCCGGCCCCATCGCTCCCCACGGCGCAGCCACGCCGCGCTACCGGTTACACCGGCTCCAGGGCGGCCAAACCCGGACCCAAACGAACGCTTTCGGTTTCGTTCCCGTTCCCGTCCCCCAACACCGGGACCCCCACAGGGCCCCCCCCCCGTCCCTACCGTGCTTCCCGTAGTAGCCGTCCCCATGGCCCCCCATTGCCAACGCCGTCGCTCGGCTCCGGACGCTCCGCCCTGGGCGTGCCCGTTCCCCCCCCCCTCCCCTCCCGTCCGGTAACGTCAACGGCGTTAAAGGAGCCGCAACGGGAACCGTAGGGGTCGGGGCCGCCGTTCCCGATCCCCTTCCCGTTCCTCTTCCCGTTCCCGATCCCCTTCCCGATCCCCTTCTCGTTCCCCTTCCCGTTCCCGATCCCCTTCCCGTTCCACTTCCCGATCCCCTTCCCGTTCTCCTTCCCGTTCCCGATCCCTATCCCGATCCCGTTCCCGATCCCGTTCCCGATCCCGTTCCCGATCCCGTTCCTGATCCCCTTCCCGATCCCCTTCCCGTTCCCCTTCCCGTTCCCCTTCCCGTTCCCCTTCCCGATCCCGTTCCCCTTCCCGGTCCCGTTCCCGATCCCGTTCCCGATCCCCTCCCCGTTCCCTATCCCGATCCCGTTCCCCTTCCCGTTCCCGTTCCCGATCCCGTTCCCTATCCCGATCCCGTTTCTCTACCCGTTCCCGCTCCCGATCCCGTTCCCTATCCCGATCCCGTTCCCGATCCCGTTCCCTATCCCGATCCCGTTTCTCTACCCGTTCCCGCTCCCGATCCCGTTCCCTATCCCCTTCCCGTTCCCGATCCCGTTCCCGTTCCCGATCCCGTTCCCTATCCCCTTCCCGTTCCCGATCCCGTTCCCGCTCCCGATCCCGTTCCCTATCCCCTTCCCGTTCCCGATCCCGTTCCCTATCCCGATCCCGTTCCCTATCCCGTTCCCGTTCCCGATCCCGTTCCCCTTCCCTATCCCGGTGATGCCGCGTTCCCTGCCCCATCCGAGGCAATAATAAAGCAGCGGGGCCGGTATTGACGGGTCCCGCTGATGTCAACGGGAGCAATGGGAGATGCTTTGGGCCCCCGCCCCCCCGCTTTGCCCCTATGAAGTGGGGGTTCCCCATTAGCAAATGTGGGGGGGTCCCCATCCCATCATCACCGGGACCCCCCCATTGGGACCCGCTGCGGGGGAGCCCCGGGACCCCCCCACTTCGGGGGTGCCGAGGGAGGGGCTCGGGGATGCTGTGGGACAGCAGGGTTGGGGGTGCAGGGAACCCCCCAAAGATGGAGCATTGGGGGGTGCAGGGTGGAGATCGGGGACCCCCTGGGATGGGGATGTGGGAGTCGGGGTCCCATTGGGACCCCATCCATGGGGGGGTCCATGGGGGGGGGTCCCATGGGTGTTGGGGTCCCATGGATGGTGGATCCCATGGGGGGGGAGGTCCCATGGGTGTTGGGGTCCCGTGCATGGGGGGTCCCATGGATGGGGGGGTCCCATGGGTGTTGGGGTCC